CCTCCTCTTTCCTCCTTCTCCTAGTAGGAATAGGAAAGGGGGGGGGGCAAACCTACTTGGAGTAGGATTGCCCCCCCTTGGCGCGCACCTCCTCCTAGGCCGGCCTCTTCCTCCCTCCCTCCTTTATATACGTGGGGAGGGGGCACCCCATAGACACACAAGTTTATCTCTTAGCCGTGTGCGATGCCCCCCTCCACAAACTTCCACCTCGGTCATATCGTTGTAGTGCTTAGGCGAAGCCCTGCGTTGGTAACTTCATCATCACCGTCATCACGCCGTCGTGGTGACGAAGCTCTCCCGACACTCAGCTGAACGTGTGCAGATCACAGAGGTGCCGTACCTTTGGTGCTAGGATCGGTCGGATCGTGAAGACGTACGACTACATCAACCGCGTTGCCATAACGCTTCCGCTTACGGTCTATGAAGGTACGTAGACAACACTCTCCCCTCTCGTTGCTATGCATCTCCTAGATGGATCTTGCGTGTGCGTAGGATTTTTTTTTGAAATTACCGCGTTCCCCAACATGGCCACCACGACCATCGCCCCGCTCTTGCCGGTGCCGGTCACCTCCGCCACGCCCGTCCCCGTCGTCTTCACCCCGAAGGAGATGACAGTTGCCATCCAGGATCTCACCCAGGCGGTCATGGACATCTACACGTTCCTCGTGAGATCCTATGGGCCACAGCCGCCTGTGCCCTACGCCACCGCCCCACCGCCGCAGCAGCCGCCATCCTCGGGGACCCCCGTTGCCGCCGCCATGGCAGCCGCCACCAGCGACGAATCCCGGCGCCTCCACCATGTAGCAGGGGCAAGAGCTGCAGCCGCCGCCACCGGCGACTGCAGCCCTGGGCATCCTGACGACAGGACCGGGGGTGCCCATCCACCAGGTCCGGTTTCCCCCGTTGTCGTTTCCGTTACCGGCCTGGCTTGCTGGGTCCCTTGAGCTGGTCTACACGACGGCCTCAGTCGGGCCGCACGTGCTGCCCCCGCCGGCGACGCACCCGGCCATGCAGTTTGGCGGGTCCTCGGGCTCCGCCGAGACTTTCGCCAGCGTCAACGGGCCCCTGTTCCAGGGCGGCACCCTGATGCCAGCCTACTCGGCCCCGTCGTCCTCGCTGCTCCAGGATGATGAGGTGCACCTGCCCGTCGTCCATGTCCAGATGCCGCCGAGATTCTTCAAGCTGTAGTTCACGACCTACGATGGCACCGTCGACCCCCTGAATTGGCTCAACCAATGCGACCAATTTTTCAGGGGACAGCGCACGCTCGCGTCCGACCGCACCTGGATCGGCTCGTATCATCTTTGAGGAGCCGCACAAACATGGTACTACGCCCTCGAACAGGACGAGGGCGGAATGCCACCATGGGAGCGCTTCCACGAATTGTGCCTCTTGCACTTCGGTCCGCTTATACGCAG